ATATGAAAAAATATATAAACTATATATGTAAAAGACATTGTATGTAAAATTATGCGTATTATTGAATAGAGAACTAAAACTTAACTAAATTAAAATGCGAATTGAACGTGATTTAAATAACAGTCGAAATAAAATAAAAACTGATTTGCGTGTAACAAGCGAATTTGTGATCCTGTTGACGAGGGTGGTTTGACAAGTATTCGATATGCAATTTAATTAAATGAGTCGAGACAAACTTTTGGAGCTAATCTGTGTACGGGTATATACGTATATGTATATGTACATATATGGCTATATTATGGCTTGAAAAGTTGTCCCTATTGATCTATTGATTGATGATATACTTATGTGCAACGGAGAGAGAGAGAGAGAGAGAGAGAGAAAGAGAGAGAGAGAGCTATCCAAAGAGGTAGAACAAGTCTTTGATCAATTTAGTTTGTTCCATATTAGTCAAGCAATTACACAGACCACCCTCGCATATAAGGCCGGCCATATGACATTCCATTAATATGCTGTGAATGCAATTAGCTAACGGTCTCAATCGGTTTACCGTTAACTGCCAATTGCATAAAAATAAAACAAGAAAAAAACACCAATTACAATAATTGTGGGACACAGAAAAAAACTGAGGCTGTTCTAATCCGCAGTGCATGACTAGCAGATACCCTGAAATGTGATTAAAATTCAGACTGGAAATACAGAAGTGCTGAGGGTACTTCAACTGAGATGTAAAGTTTTCAGGTCTAACACTTTTCTATTGATTCTACTCAAAAACATATACATACCCTCAAATATATGTATGTATACTCTCATACCTTTTGTCTCTCTGTTGCATACACATTTTTAAATACGATATACCCTTAAGCCTTTTCCAATAGGCTCCAGGATATGAGAACAGCTCAGCACGCGTTTCATTTTGCCACAAACTACTTTAAGCTCAAACTGGCAAATTGATAAAACTTTGACAACGCGCGTACACACACATGCACACACACACACATAGAGAGAGAGAGAGAGGGAGAGGGGCGCACACACAAACACATGCACGTATGTGACCTCTGCTGTTGTCCAAATCTCCATTTCATGCCATTGACTGCTTTCCATTATTGAGGTCAACTGCAGAGACAGCAGCAACAGCAGCAACAACAACAACAACAACAACAACGACGACAACAACAGTAACAGTTTCATTGCATGTTTACGGCCGCTGTGGTTGCATCTGCCATATACCCTGTATAATGACCATTGCTGTGTGGTATATTGCAATGACGGTTTTAGTTTATTTAAACTTTCATATGTCTTACAGGGCATCTAGCGTGCTTATAATATATGCATCTTAGTTTGCACCTATGATTATTTAAGGCGATAACATTTACAGGGTATGTCAAGCGTCCAGTTACTTTGATTTCCTCAAACTTACATTTTGATAACTGAAATTTCGAATTTACAGCCGCTTTATGACTAATCTTATTGATTTTATATTATATTCAAAGCCCTTGCTGTTGTTAATCAGTATTACAGGGTATCTCACTTATGGCCACGATACTTTCATTGGCATATTTATTATTTCTAATTAAAATCGCCACTATGGCTAATCGCCCTAATCATGGCTTACGTTGATTATTCCATTTTATTAGAGCATTTGCTATAAATTTTATATCTCCATCGCAGGGTATCTCGCACGTTCATAATCCCGTTTATTTCGATTTAATTTCCACTTTAAAATAAATAATACATTTATAATTTGAAGCAGCCTTTTGACTATTAGTGTGATTTGCATTAATATCACTCTCTACAGGGTATCTCTGAGGCCCAAAATGCTATATTGTCAGTCATAAGTAAAACCCTTTTTATTGGGGTAGTTCATATGTATATATTTAATCCTTATTACTGGATATTCGATTAAATTATTATATTTTTGCTTTACAGGGTATCTAGTGCGTCCACATTTAAACCTTGTAATAGCCTTTGGGTACCTTGTATGTATATATGTATGTAAATAGATATATTTTCTAGATTTAGGCAACTTTATTACTTCAGGCATTAATATATGTTTACATTATAGGGTATCGCTGACGTGCACCTCATGACCCACGCACACACATACACACATAGTTGGCTTATAAATTTTATAACAACTGCAGCTGGGTGACATTTGACATGCACATTGTCACGACAATTGGCCAGATCCTGGATCCCGGGTTGGCCGAGACTTAATCACGCTGATGGCATTTTTATGTGATGTGGCAGACAACAACAACTTGCAACAACAGCAACAACAACAGCAACAACAACTGCAGCAATAGCAACTTGCAACATCTAGATGCGTATGTGGAAGGTGGATAGAAAGTCTGGCGCCCGCAAGATGACATGCTCGAACTCCAATATGGACAGCTTGCCATCGCCATCGACGTCCGCTTCCTCGATTACCTTGTCGGCAATCTGTTGATGCTCCTCGGGACTGAGCTCGTTCTTGGTCATCGTCGTCAGGCAGGACATCAGGTCGGCGTGCCCAATGAAACCATCCTGATCGAAATCTGCAAAGTCATCAGCAGACAGACATAAGTAAGATGTGCGCACACATCTATGCAAATTGTGTGCGAGAGAAAGAGAGAACGAGAGAGAGAGACACTAGGTGTGCGAATTAGTGTATGTGTTGTAGACTCTCTATGCGAATGCTCCTTCTGGTATACCAGGCATACTCGTTCACGGTGAGTGCAATCGGAGTATATTAGTTTTGTGAGATGCTCATGGTGCAGACGCTTTATGTTTGTATATGTATTCGTATACCCTCTCGGAAATTATAAAGAGAGTATATTAAGTGTCCGAGAGGAGTATGAGTGGGACTGCTGGCGTATACTCGCTCACGTACTGAATCATGAGGGTATATTAGCTTCCACTTCCAGTACATTTCTCTCTCTCTCTCTCTGTGAGCGTGTGGGTATGTGTAGCTGTGTGTGTGTGTGTGTGTCGTCATGTGTGCTCATGCTAGCTTATTTATCTATTTTATATGCATTCATGCAGTGACAGAAAGAGTATATTAGTTTATCGTGTGCATAAATTTTAAGTAGAGTGCGTGAGAGCATGCACTTTTATATTTGTATCTATACTTGCTCATAGTTCTAAAGAGTATATTGGTTCTAGCCGTACAAGAGTTTGTTTATCTATTGTAAGGTAGAGACTGGAAATTCAGTATGTATAATCGTATATATCCTGAGCTGATAGAATAAGGCGTGGCAAAATGGAATTTTCGAAATGGGCTAGATATAAGAAATATAAAATGAATAGGCATATACATATGTAGATCATTCGAATCTATATTTAGCTATATAAAGGCCGAAGCCGTATTCCTTATCCTTAATTTTGTCCACCACCAGAGTATTATGCAGTCGGTCAAATCCGTTTGCAACGCTTGCTTACTCACAGCTCAGGCTGCTTATCATGTCTGACATTTTTATGCATATAAAAGTGAATTGATGTGTGCAAAACTAAGTTAGGAGCTAACAAACACACTAACATATGCTAACACACACACACACACAGACGTGTGAGTGTGTGTGTGCTGCGCGCGTGTTGCATGGCTCGAATTTGTGTCAATCTAATAATCCAACGAATTCGAAACGAGAATCAACTCCGTTTTCCCAGCACATATTAAGCATGGACCTAAAGAAGTCGAGAGGATGTGCAGGATAATCGCATGAATAGCAAATTTATGAGACATTGAAATACTTARGCAATAAATAATAATAATAAGTCAATTAAACAAATTGTTTGAATTTAATTGAAGCTGACTTAAGAATCAAAATGAGCTCAAGAATCTCGATTTGAGATTCGAATTTATTGTTATTAAGGATGAGCCTGAAGTCGACAGCGAATTGCATTAATGACAGAAATACCTACACGCCAGGCAAGCTGTTAACGTAGTGTGAATTACTGCATACTTTTGACAGTTTGCATTTTAGTTCAAGTCATTAAACAAATGAAATTCGAACAATCAATTAGACACAAGTTTGCGCCAGCTTCCTGCTGCCCAATTAGCTTCAGCTGTTCAGCTGTCGGCCATCTCCTGCTAAATGACTTCTTTTGTTATTACTCTCTATATATCTATAAAGGCAGCCATGAACCGCATCTAATTCAATTTGATTCAATTTGTAACAGAGACTAAACTATTTGCTTATTCACAACAATTATTCATTTAAAATTGTTACTGTATTCGTTTCCTCTCTCTCTCTCTCTCTCTCTGTGTTTGCTTTATGCAATTATTTAGTAGTTTTTTTTTTTTCAGTTTCCTTCATTCAATTTACATTTGTTTTTCTGCTTTTGATTCTGTTGATTCAATTCCCAATTCAATTTACAGCGAGCATATGAGAGAAACTAATATATATTTGCCTGTGTTGCACAGTGTACACTGTGCCATTTAATTGCTGCACAGTTTATTTGCCTCAGCTTTCTCTGTCTAGCTCCCTCTCTCGCTCTCTCTCCCTCTCTCTCTCTGTCTCGTAAATTCAGAAAAGTTGTAAAATCAAATTGCCAAGTGAAAGCGCGACATTTTTCACATTCTCATTTAAATTTCAATTAAAATGCTTATTAGAATTTATGACTGGCCTTGAACTCGGCCAGGCAACAACAACAACAGCAACAACAACGTTGCGCTGGCTGCAGTTGGAATTTTTGGAGCTGAGCCACAAATAATTGAGGCGCGCGACTAGGCAAATGCCTTGGCCTTACCATATAAATACCAGCAAGAGTGAGAGAGGGAAAGGGAGTGCGAGAGAGACAGAGAGAGAGAGAGAGAGAGAGAGAGAAAGAGGTATAGCGCGTGTGGCGACAGCCCGCAAATGCATAAACAAAACCCGCAAACGTTCTGGCCTAGAACATGGCCAAAACTGTGCACCGCACAGCCAACAACACGAAATTCAGCAGCAGATAAATACCCTGATTAAAAGCTTTCCTTATATGAGCTGAAAAATTATACGATATACTAACTCATTCAAAAATGTATATCTATAGGTCCTAGAGTTATTCAGAGTCATAGCCTTCTTATAGATAATAGGCAAATTAACTGTAGTTTGAGGGAAGAATTCATAGTACTAAAAACATCAACAGCAATACGAATCAACATAATAAATTTGAAATTTCTCAATGTACTATATGTTCCATATTACGCACTTGTAGAAGCTCGCGCTGCTCTGGCAGTTCTCAAGCAAAGGCTCAACAGACAAAGCGAATTAGGAGAGAAAGAAGAATGAGATATATTTGTGAGTAATGTGTATAACAGCAGAGAATTTAGACTTCAATTTGATATAGTCAGTTGGAAGTCAGTTTGGAATAGTCAGTTCCCACATAGTTGAGCAGTTGTAGATTAACTCGTATATCCCCACATATGTATATATGTATATACTATGTATATACTCGAAATATTAGTATACATAAAGTTTATTCTTTCTGGAACAATCATCATTTGCCAACCAACCAATATACCCCATTTCGCCCCCATAAGCATGCACAGAGTATAATGAGGAAACTTACCATAAATTTTGAAAGCGTAAAACACTTTAATATCTCTCGGCGCCTGCTCGCTAAACACGGATAAAGCATCCAAAAAGTCCTCAAAGGATAAATTGCCCAGGCCATCGCGTGAGAAGGCCTCGCCTGCCAAGTGGGCGTGCCAGGGGCACAGTTGGGCGTTGACCAAAATAAAAAATAAAAAGAAAAGAGCAAACAGAACAAAACAAAAATATTTTTATATATATTTTTTTTCTCTGCTGCTTATGAATGTGAATGAGGAAATTGTTGTTGATGCTGGTTGTTGTTGTTGTAGTTGTTGTACTCACAGATACGTCGCCGAAATGGATTCTCACGCAACTCGGGCATCTTCTCAATGCATTCGCGTGGAACCTTGACACTCGATGCCTGACCCTCGGTCATTTGGCGTGGCACCAAATCCGGCCGCAGCTCACGAAAGCGTTTATGCACACTGGAAGGGCGACGGGGAGGGCAGAGAGGGTAAAGGAGTAAAGCAAGCTGATGAAAGGCTTTTGTGTATGTGTGCTCTGTGTCTGTGTGTGTGTGTGTGTGTGTGTGTATGTGCGTGTGCACACCCAACAAAAGGTTGCGCCAAACAATGGAACGCAAAATAGTTTCGCTTATTATTATATTTTCAACATGGCAGCAAATTGCGTATACGCCCCGTGCTGTCATATAAATACATACCGCAATATCTCCTTGCGTGTAAAGAACGTGCAATCCTGGATTGGCGCATGGAATATTTAAGTTTTCTACATGATTTAGCTGCTCTTTAAGGAACGCACACCCACACACACACACACACACACACGCACCTGATAGTCATCCAATTGCTGTTCGGTGAATGTCACAATTTTGTTGCCCATTTTGTGGCTGGCCGGGATAAGGCTAGGCAAAACCAACTGCTGGCCTCTGCTAACGCTGAGCGACTGACAAAACAGCGCAGCGCCAAGCCAAGCCAGAGCCAGGCCAGGACAGGCCAGGACAGGACAGGACAACAACTTTGCATGAAACAACGTTAAACTGGGATCAGGCTGTGCGGGTCGATGGGCAGCGCCAAAACACATCCTGCGGCGCCTTTTGCAGCGACAGCAGCGCGTGGCTCCAGCTTGTCCTGACCGCATTCGCATGGAAATTAATTAAGGAGTGTTCACGGTGTGCCAGCCACGTTTTTTGCTTTCATTTTTCTTTGTTTTTGCCTTTGTTGCTTCTGTGGCTGTTGCTGTTGCTGTTGCTTTTGCTGTAGCGGCTGCCTCGCCTGCGGTTAGTTTGACAGCGACATGGGCGAGGGGCGCGCCAAAAAGGCTAACAGCAAAAACCAGTTACGCTTATGCGACCAGCTGCCTAGGCGGAATATGAAATGCCCTAGGAATAGATAGAGAGATAGACTGATAGACAGATAGATAGAGTAGAGCTTGCAGGGAAACTATGATTAAGCTGAGTGGTTCATGGGATGAAAGACTGCAACGGATAGACTGAGAGAAAGAGAGAGAGATAGAGAGACAAAAAGACAGAGAGGGAAAGATATGCATAGATAGATTGTTTGGCAGACAGATAAAAGATAGATCAATTAAAAGATAGTTAGCTAAAGCAATAGATATATCGATATCTATTTATTAACATGTCTAGTTTGATATATAGATAGATCGACATATCGATTAGTAGATAATTACTGAAAAATGTATATCGATATCGGATATCGGATCCACTTGTAGATATATCAATATCTGTCTACTAATCGTTTCATTTACATTTAGATACACACATCACTAGATAGATCTATAGTTTGAAAAAGTATATCGATAGATACAAAAATTGATTGATAAACAATTTAATCTATGGGCCAGTCGTAGCTTAATATATAGGTATACTACATACATATATAGATATATATTTTAATATATAAAATAAATTCTGATCATAATGAAGTTATATATATCGTGATCTGAAAATGACAACCCAGAATTCTTGGTATAATAGACTATGAAATGTCCTAAGATACATTCGTAAGGCATCTATCACAAGCTAAGGGACTTAGTCGGTATAGCTACATTGACAGTCTTCATTCCATTGGCTATCCACTCGATAATTTATATAATTACCTTACAAATATAAAACACTGCTCACCTCTCTGTTGACACAATACGCCCCCAGTCATAATTACAATCAATCTCCACAACAAAAGGCACAAGGAATTTCCTCATTTAGCCAGTGAACAAAAAGTGTAGCACAGTTTTGTGCGATGATTTTGGGTTTAGTTTCGCGTCGCGACTTTATTAATTAATTTAATGCGCCGCAAAACTTTTCAATCTGACGCGTTTGCTTTATATATTTGTGAAAATGGCTGTCGGGCTTGGGATCCAGATCTAAAACGCTCAGCTTGGTCAGAAATTGACGACCTTGCAGCGAAATGAGCCAAGGCTGCAAAGCACTGAAAGAGAAGTGAGCACGGATTAGTTGCGAGAAAGTATGTGTGTGTGTGTGTATGTGTGTGTGTCTCAGTCACTCACCTGTGATGCTTCGCCTGACATTGCACTTCCTGAAATGTCAGCATTATGGAGCAATCGAGCGCCGTCGCGCCCAGCATATAAGCCTGCTCGGCTGCCAACTCCTGCACATTGTCCTGCTGACAGCTGGCGAGCAGTGCCCGCAGCGCCTTGTAGCTGGGCGTGCCCTGCCGGGCATATCCTTGCGCCCACATATAATGAAAATGTCGCTGCAAATGGCCAAAAGGAGAAGACGTTAGACAGCCAACGACAGTCGAACCCAAAAGTCTTTCAGCCACTTGGCCGCCATCCAACTGAGCAGCGAGCAGCAGTGAGCAGTGAGCAGTGAGCAGCGAGCGCAAGTCCCACAAGACGCTCTCCATGACGTGTCCACTGTCCAGTGTCTGTTGTTCATTCGGTTGTCCGTTTAGCTGCCCTTTCAATTTTATTCCTTTTTAGCGCCAGCCACTCGCCTGAAGCATTGTTGAAGCCATCAGCCAGCTGAAGCTCAACGCAGTTGCACTTGAACAACGGGGGCAACAGAAAAAAGGGTGCTGAGCAGTGATCGACTGGCTAATACCCTGTTATGTAGTGGTGCAGCCAGACCAAGAGGGAACTCAGGCCATGAAATTCTTGTGCAACTTTTAGCTCTTGAATCGATTTCTCTACTAGAATATATAACCTATTTTAAAGATTATTATAAAGCATATTTAAGCTTAAAATTCTACTTCTTCTTCTAGTTCATTGACATGAATACGTTTCCAACTTACCTTAACACATTTCAAGCTCAAGCTCATCTGTATAAATGCGAGGTATCTTTTAGTCAGGCTCTTCCCCTCACAAAAATACCATTTTCTTTTCCTCATCAAACTTTTTATCTTTACCAAAACTTTGTCATGTTCCCCCCCCCCCCCACCAATTGGTCAACACCCTTTTTGTTAGGGTATTCCATCAGCTGATAGCTATCAAAGCGCTGTTTTATACGACCTCCCTCTACCCAACCTCCCCCCCTCAGTCCTTATCCAGCCCCTATCAAAATAAACAAAAATTGCTGAAGTCCACGCCCACAGCGTGCAGTGCCGCTTCCTCTTACAACTTTTACACCTTTTACCTACCTTGACCAACAATTGCAAATGCAAAATTTTTTGCAAAACACAATTTTTGGGTAAGTGAAATATTTCCGCCTGGCTGATCCCTGCTTGAGTCTCGCAGGGCGCCAGGGGAGACGCGACAAGTTGCGGCGCTGGGTTCAGAGTAGCCAACGCTGTCGACGTTGTTTCCGCTTCCGTTTCCGTTTCCATTGCTATTCGTGTTGCCACATTCGCTGGCATTGTTGTTGCTGTTGTTGTTGTTGCTGTTGTTGTTTTTGTTGCCTTTGCTGTTGTTGTCATTTTGGTACGCTTTGTGTACCTTGGGCTGGCTGTTTCAGCAGCTGCTGCTCGCCGCTGCGGCTGACCACCAACAGCTTTGACAAAGTCAACTATGCTCGCCTCCTCCCTCGGCTGCTCCTGCTCCAGGTACTGCTGGTTCTCTACGTGCTTTGCCCTGCCAATTTCTATAGTTGCGGTTGGCTTTGTCTTCATGCCACAACGTTTGAATGTCGATTTCCCAAATGCAGCAGCAGCAGCAGCAGCCACGTGGCTGTGGCTTTCATTCGCTGCCTGCTCCTGCTGCTCCTCTTTCTTCTCCTCCTGGCTGTATTCCCTAAGCAGGCAGGCGACCAACAAATGTTTTATAAGCGCCATAATTTCACTAGAGAATTTCAACAGATTTTATGACCATAGCATTGGGCATTGGGTATATACGGGCGATGCGTATTGGTAAAGCATTTTCGGTTTCAATGCAGATTCCAATTTTGTTGTCAACGTGTAGCCAGAAAAAAAGGTGTTGAAATGAGTGGAACAAGCACATAATAGCCAATAGCAAGAGTTCAAAAGAGACAGAGCGAGTGAGAGCGTAAGAGAGAGGGAAAGAGAAAAAGAGGTAGATATATATCTGTGTTAGCGTTTGGCATTCGAGAATTTGTGTGTTTGGCTGTTGCTGTCTGAGCATTATTTATTGAATATTTGCATGTCGAACAATTGCTTTGAGATTTTTACTCTAGTCTATTTTTTTTTCTCTCTCTCTCTCTCTTTTTTGGCTTTCGTAATTGTTTGGCATCCATGGAAATTTTATGCTGCGTATACGATAAATATTTGAGCTGCTTACAATCGATTGCAGTTCAAGCAAAAAGTTTTCCATGAATTTTCATTTCACAAAAATTTAACTGTAGCTCCAAAGAGCTTGCACAAGGAATCTAAATAGAAATCGTATCTATACAGAACTTTAAAGCTTGTTAAAGCATTTATTTACAAATTTTCAAGAATTTATTATCCATGGCCTCTACAGCAAAGATTGCATATGTTTTTACTGAAATTTTCTTGATAAAAAGCTTTCTACGAAACACATGGACCAAAACATAGTTTCTTCTACTGAAATATTTATTTGATTCTGCATAAAAAACAAAACGAATTAGCTTTTCATGCTGAAATTCGTTGTTGATATTGTGAAATTCATAGAAATGTCTGTACGCTGTTGCCCTTCCTCGCAATGCAGTTTACAGTTTCCTAATGCTGTCTCCCTCTGTTGCAGTAGCTTAAATGAGAGGCAGCGAGCTTGTACAGAGTTCTTCTAAAATTAGTAAACGAATGAGTCTGCGTACTAATTGGATTCTATTCGCCATTGCTCACTCTGACAGAGAGAGAGAGAGAGTGAGACAACAATAGTTACTGCTAAACGAGCCTGCTGTTGCTGAGCGAGAGCGAGATGGTTACTTAGACCTTTCGAAGAGACGACGAAGAGAATGAAAGAGTTCATGTATATGTGTATGTATGTGTAAACTATATAAAAATCCTAATCTATTCTTTCTACTTTCAAGAGTACACCATCCATACATACATGTATGTATACACACATGCATACAAATATGGACTCATAATAACAGCGAGCTTACCTAACATTTGCGGTGCTGTTAACTTAACAGCGAGCTTATCTAACATTTGAGGTGCTGTTAACTTAACAGCGAGCTTATCTAACATTTGAGGTGCTGTTAACTTAACAGCGTCGCTTCTTTAACAGCTATTAAGCACTTCTATTGCTCTTATCTTGCGGAAAGCTCAACAATTTAAGCCAAACTCTGTCTGTTTCAGCACAATCGTATTTCCTGCAAATATTCAACTATTCCGATTGATTCACATTTAGCTGATAAACTCAGACAGATGCAATTCACTTAATATTGATATAAATATATATATAAATGCTGCGCTCACCCTGGGAAGAGTTGAGTGTGGAGCTGCTCGCAGGAAATCGAATTCGCGTGATCGCCATAAATTAAATTCCCGCTCTGAAATACACGTAAATTATTTTGCGGACAAGCGAAAAGCGAATTCAAGGCATCGAGCATACGACCAGGAGCACTAAAAAAGCGAAGAAACAAGAAAAAATATATACTATATATAAATATATATAAAATAACACTATTAAACCATAAATATATGTATGTACGAATGGGCAGGGACTGAGTGCTGCGCGAGGGGTGGTAAATTTTTGTACGCTGAGCGGCAAACGCCAAGCCCGTAAAAAGCCGACGCGGGCCTGAACGAAAATGAAAATAAAAAGAAATAAAAAAGCACACAAAAAGAAAGTAACAAAATGCATTGAAAGTGGATGCGAAGCAGGCGGTAAACCGGAATGAAAGCGCAAGCAAATTGAATTTCGTGCACGGATGCACGCATGACTTAAAACAGCGGGCCACAAATAAACGAATGAGCCGCGGATGCCACACACCCGAAAATACAACAGAATAAGTAAGCTGGAGTCTAGGACGGCCCGGCACGACTAGACGATGATCTGTACTTGGCTTGCTTAACTGTTGTCTAGAGAGGATGGCTAACTCTGACTGGATTCCACTGAAGACTCAAAGCAAGTCCTAAACAGAAAGTCAATTCTGATTCAGAGTAAATAAAGTTTTGCTAGAAAACTCAAGTTCAAGTATTTTATAAGAGATCATTCTGATGCGAGGTATATAAGATCAAACTCCACATATAAATGGAATTAGACTCTATAAATTGATGCTTAATATCATTGTCGTTAGTTCTAAAAGTTATCAGACTGCCCTCTCATAAGAAACTCCCTTCAAGTCTGAGGCTCGCCTCTGCTTAGTCACGATTCACATATACGTCATCACAGATTTGCCTAGCTGTCTATCACAAACACCTACAATTAACGAATCCACCCTCTGCCACGCCCACACTCACTATCACTTAGGGTATGTGAAAACAAACCAGTCGAGCACCCATATTATAAAGGCTCAAGCCGGAAACAGAGCAGCGCAAAGAAAAGAGGAGAAAAAAGTGGCATTCAATTGCCTGCAGGTAAAACACGCCAGAGGCACACAGGTGAGGCTGCCTCGGAGCTTCTGCCAGTTGAAGGTGTTGGAATTATGAAGCACGACAGGACACGCAAATGGAGCATATTAAAATTTATGACTTAAAGGCGTGTTAAGCCCGGCGCAACTTACCCGGAGAACAAATGCAATGGACAATATTGGCCCAATCGCTTGATTTTACCCAAGTGCAGCTGCGAAAGAGACGAAGAAGAAGAAGAGTGGGAAGTGGATGTAGTAGAAGTGATATACGAATGTTTGTAAATGTTTGTAAATCAAATAACAAGTAGCTGGCAGCACATCAAACACACCCACACACCACTCCTCCCTCACACAGATAGCTTCCACACTCACACACACACACACACCCTCACTTAATATTCGCCTCACCTTTACCACCTGCATGCTGCAATAGCGACACCTGCATTTGTCTGGCTTTAACAACGTATCAACCGTTGGCCGCACCTTCTTCGTCGCCGTCGATTCGTTTGCCTTTACCGGCTTGGGTTCAGGCTCAGGTTCAGCTTGGGGTTCGGGCTGTGGTTCAGGTTCGCAGGTCGGGTCCATTGTGCCCTCGCCAGTTGGCATTAAATCAAATAAATCGCTGACATCACTTGGCAACTGGAGCCAGCCCTGTTTCGGTTTTATTTCGATGGCATATGTATCGCCCAGACGGCTTACTCCACAGCTACTGCTGGTAGTGCAGCTCCTACTCCTGCTGCTGCTGCTGCTGCATATGTCCGCATCCATGTCCGTGTCCATGTTCATGTCCTTTGCCTACAAATTATTTCGTTTGGCTTATTCGTTTTTCTTTTCACTTTTTTTTCTGTACATGGGTTGATCCCCAAAAATACGTTATAAAGAGGGTAGATTAGCTCTAGGAGGGTGTTATAGGCTTAAATAAGTATATTTGGTAAACCAGAATGAGAAGATTTTTTTCATATATTTTATATATGTTTTTCTAGTTATTTCCTATATCAAATTCAAGAATCTATTTATCATATATCATTCTTTCCCATTCTCGTTTTCATTTCCACACTAATTTTTTAGAGAACCTTAAGAATTAGAGTATTTCATTTTGGTATATAGGTTCATTAAGAGTATACGAAGATGATATATAAAGAGATTTCTGCTAGATGACATATAGCTCATTTCCTTAATTAAGTAATTATGACCTAACAGAACGCATGATTGTGTGAGATATCTCTCGGTCGTTCCCCATAAAATCACGCTTATTTTTTATTGCGCTTCCAAATGGAGTTGTAGTTGGAGAGAAAGAGACAAAGAGAGAGAGAGTGAGACAGAGAGGTTGCAGGCCGCGTTGACGCCATTTTGACTTGAAAATGCCAACGACTAACGAAGTGGAGTTGTTGCCAGCGACACAACACAAACAACACACACACACACACACGCGGAGAGAGACAACAATAAAATGAAGAAGGAAAAGAGGAGGAGAGCAGAAAAAAGAGTTAAGAGGCGGCTGCAACGGTTATCGCTGCAAGAGCGAACATGAACTGTAACGGCCAGCCATTGCCATTGTGCTCGTTGTCCTCGCTGTCCACGAGGTCCTCGATGTCCTGTGCCTGTTGTTGCCGCATAAAGGAAAACTTTCTGTTTGCCACGCTGATTGTATGATGAGTTATGGCACAGGTGAAATATATTTGCCCAGGTACACAGAAGGCCGGCGGTGTCCACACGTGCGCCGCGGCTCAACTTGAAATTGAAAATTAACATTTAAAGCCACAATTAAACAAGGCGCACAGCAATCCGAGCAGCTGCTGCCGGACTGCGGACTGCGGACAGTGGACAGTGGACAGTGAAGCTACTCCCAGCTCCTAGTCATATCCAATATAGCGTTAGTTATGGCATCGTTACTATGCTGCTTCTTCTTCTACTTGTTTTTATTGTTTTTCCTCTCTGCTTTTTTCGTTCTGTTTCTTTTACTTCTTGCAATTTTATTTCGGTCAATGCTTTGGCAGCAAAGCCATAAATTGAATATATAAGCATCGCGTGTGCTAACGTGGCTTAAATATGGCAGCTAACTGGACTTTAGAGATATCCTATTCAGCATTTATTTGGACCAGCGCTGGCGCCATCTAGCGTTTGGTGTAGGGTAAATAATTGAACCTTACGCCAGATGTCGCTTTGGCTTTTGTTCTCAAACTCGATTTTTGCATACAATTTTTTGAGTTTATGTGAAAACTTTCCAAATTTAAACAGAAAGCAGAAAATTTTAATATAAATATATATATATTGTAGCCGGAATGGAGAATATGCTTAAAATGATAGATATAGCGGTTAAAATTGTATGTACTAAAAATTTAAAAGTTACGAAATGTGAAAAAATGAATGAAACTGATCTAAAATCCTATAACTATCTATAAATAATTAATTGAAGTAGATCTAAAACTTATACGTAGCAATTCCAGAACAGTGTACTAATATTTTCTGTAAGTAAACAACATATTTCCCAATATACCAGCAAATTCCAATTGGAATTCAATGGGAAACTTTCAAGTCTATTCACGTCTTGCCATAAAAATGTTCAAGTTTTTTCATTACCCTCCGATTCTTTCCCTTTCAATCATATCTCATTATCTATACATTTCTCTATAGTTGATAACCCCTTCCATTCAGCCCTCTTACGTAACAGCTTTAAATTACAGGGTATATTTGAACTAGTGGCTTTGGCGGCACTTTCAAAGCAATTTTCGTCGTCCTTTATAACCGCAGCCACCGAAACGGCCAGCGGGTCCAGGCGAAGGCTTTAGCTTTTTGGCTGCCAATGCCGCTAGCCACAGCAACAACAGCAACAACAGCAACAACAACAACAGCAACAACAACAACAGCGGCAACAATGGACACAACAACAATGTGTTTACACTGTTGCCCACTTTAATTCAAAACAAAGAACCGTTGATTTATGTTGCCTTAGCTGCTGCTCCTGCTACTCCTGCTGCTGCTGCATGTCCACATCCATGTGCATCGGCTCACAGTTTTAGGTTTTTGGCTACAAAATATTTGTTTTCCTTTTATTTTTTGGAGTGCACGAAAGCGAGCTAAACCGCAGCAGCGCATATGGCGCAACCTGCCAATATTGTCCTTGTTCAAAATCTATATGTATATATATATCTATATACATCGAAATATATATACAGGGCAGCCAATATCCCGATAGAAACTCACCTGTAAATTGGCAAGTAAAACATCGAATGTGGCAGGCAATTGGGTCACATCTGGCAGCAGCAGACCGAATGGCCCCACAAATTCCTTATCCAGACGCGAAACTGCAAAAGGAGCGAAGGAACATGAATGTAAAGTGCAGTCCACTCAACTGATATATATGCGGATGCACAGTGAAATCAATGCCAACGGACAGCTGCATCAGCAGCGTAGCTCAAGTTGCTGAACTTGTGGAGCTACAAATGTTGAAGAATTTACTATGGGAAAATACAATTTTAGTACAGCTTTAAGCAACAGAGAGAGAGAGAGAGAGGGAGAGAGTTATTAAATTTATGGCAGTTTCTCTCACACTTTCTGTCTTTATAAAAGGGATATTTAGTATGGAAATATATTATTTATATAATGGAATCCTTCACAAGGCAGGCATTTAAATTTAGTACATACATATATATACATACATAAGTCACATGAACAATGTACTATAGACACTCTATAATAGATGACCAATATATAGAATCCCCATATGTGAACTAAATATCCATATAAAATCCCTAAATGTGCACTAAATGCCCATATATGCCTCTAAATGTGCCAAATCTCCATATATTTACTGAGTATTCATAAATGCACTAAATGTCCATACATATACTAAATCTCTATATATGTACTAAATGTGCATATATGCACAGAATCTCTATACATGTACTAAATATGCATACATGTACTAAGTATCCATATGTGTACTAAATGTGAATGAGTCTCTATACATATTTAGTACATGTATAGAGCGTATTGTAAGCATATTCTCAAAGTTATTCTTTAACACTTGCTTGACGTCTATGCGCCACTTTCTTATCAGCTGCCATAGGTGACAAACTCTTTTAACCCGACACGTCCGTCTAGGGCAGATTTCACTGTATGTTGATATATAGCAGACGCCGCTGGGCAATGATAAATGGTGGTTCCGAGCAGCCAGCAGCGACAGCGAGCGGCGTACAACGAGCTGCCGCCTGTTGCTGTTGGTGCAATATAAACCGAATTTTGATATATGGCTGCGACTATTGGCCGGCACCACTAATCAGTCCCATGTGGCTCCACTTTGATGTACAATTTAGTAGAAAGTGGAACAAGAGAGCAGCGAGCGGTGAGCGGAGAGCGGAGAGCGGCAAGCAGTTGGAGGAGGGACAGGGCAAGGTCTGCACTAAAAAGCTCGTTTATGATTGATTGCACGGGCAGCGGAAGCGGCAGCGGCAGCGGCTTTTGGATGCAGGCCAAAGGCGAGCGGCAAATGCAGCGCAGATCAAATACAAAATAAGACTATGACACAGCAGCTGCCTCTCCAACCACTCCCCTCCCCACTCTCTCTCTCTCTCTCTTTGCGCGTCTCTCTCCGGAGATGAACTCACCCGGCCTGTGCTGGCGTATGTGCTCGTTTATCCAGCATCTATCGCTTTCCTTTGGTATGGCAACAATATCCGCTGCACAGACAAACTCATTTCCTAATAGACGGCGCATTATCTCGATATAAGCCATAAAATCGGGCATTGTCAAGGCGCCAGCTAAAAGAGAGAAAGGCAAGAAATAAGATGAATGAAATAAACACATCTCGATGCAATGGCCAAGGGAAGATGCACAGCCAGCCACAAAAACAGATATGACTGGGGTCACAGCTCCATACAAATGCACATCTATATAAATATACATACATCTATATCTGCGCTATACAAAGCCAGCCAAGCGGGCAATAAGCATCGCACAATACACAAATTGGCCAACAGCAACGCAAAAAGGAACTAAGTTTGCTTTTGCTTTTGCTTTTGACTGCGATTTGGTCGAAATAGGAAGCTCTTATTGTTATACACTAGCTGTGCTGCATTATAAGAGGATAGCACTAGTTATTGCATATATATAGATAAAACATTCTTAAAGAGTAACTACGGCAAAAGCCTTATAGACATGTCAGTATTCATGCATTCATATACCTACAGGATTATGCATCCATGCATTATGGTTTTACATTAAACATATATCTATAGATCATTAGATATTTCCACATCTCTATATCTAAACATTAGCATTTCCATATGTCTCATATATCTATTAATAAATTATCTATACAGCCATTCGTATTCAGGTCTATAAACTTAGACTCAACTACTCAAATGAGAATGGGGCTACAAATAATTGCACTATTGTATATAATGGCTATTTAACAATATATATTAATCTTATATAGAGTTCAGCTAACTTAACATACCTAATCAAATCTATATTAACTATATAGACATCTAACGCAAAAGACTTAAAGTAGGAGCATGCATAATATATTAAATATCTTATAAAACTATTAAAATACATATTTTCGCTTCTGCCTAGCTCGCATCTTTCGCTGTCTCATTGTTGTTGCTTTGGCTTAAGCCATGGTGTTTGAAGTTGCACGCAACCATTTCCTGACCAAAACCAACAACAATAACAAGACAGCAGACACATAAATGCTATCCTATAGCTGTGCTCCCATATATATAGATATACATGTATATATAGTACGTATATATATGCAGCATTCAACCTTTTGAGCTTGATGCTTCGCTTGGGTCGGAAACGCTGGGTTGCTGTCCTTCCGGTTGGTCTGTGCTGGCCGGCTGGCAGCAACGACTCCTGCTGCTGCTGCTGCTGCTAGTACTGCTGGATATCATTTTTGGCAAACGTAAAACTTTTTTAAATTGCGGCAATGCCAGCACCAAATTTGCATTACCCTCCGCCCGATAGATCAACTCAATTTGGCTCAACTCCATCTCTGCGGGCAAGTGCAGCAGCGCGTTTAGCGACTTAGCTTCAGGCGGGGGCGGCACAGCCGACGCAGGCGGAGGCGGAGGCGTGGCAGGCGCAGGAGCAGTAGCTGAGGCTGCAGCAGTTGTCATGACTTTTGCGCGGGTGTTTGCGGTTCGTTGGCGTTGTCAAAATTGCAACTGACACGAACGAATCTCTCTGTCGCTCTCTGTCTCTGTTACTCTCCTTCCCTTTCGCTCTCTGTCGTTTGGCCGCTGGGCAGCCTGGAAGGGCCGGACTGTCGCGCCAGTGTTGATGATTTTGCCGATTGTGGTTTGTTGTTGCGGTTGGCTTTTTGCGGTTCGCTCTTGTTTATATTAGTTCTTGTATTTGTTGTTCACTTTACTCGTTGTTGCAGCAGCTTGGCACGTTTTTGTTGAGCTCTGTTGCTGCTGCTGCTGCTGCTGCTTGTCATTTGTCTGCGATAAGCTAAGCCGCTTGAAAGGCAAATTGCACTGGCTGATATATCAAGTAAAGCCTGCAAGAGAATTGTAATAACATAATGCCATATTTATTGTGTTACAGTATTATATTTACGTATATTCATACTTATAATTAACTGTTTTAATTAAGAGATTAAGACAAGCCGGCTGAACAAAAGATCACAACTAAGCTGCACTTGAAGAGTGTGCCCAAACTGAATCAGCTGAGCGCCAGCTGAATATGGCGGTCGGTCGATAATCGATCAAGCAAGCAGCAATCGATGCAGCCGCCACGCAAGTGTGACCAGCATTTGTATAACTAAAAAAACACACACAATTCAAATATATGGAGAAAAGCAAATTTAAATTTGTTTTTCAATTTTGTTTTTTTTTTTTTTTTAATTTATTAATTTATTCCATTTTCAGTTTCAGTTTAGTGTTTGCGTATGTATTGACCATTCTCTGTTTGAATGAGTGTGTGGCCGCCAGAGTGAATCACCTGAGTGGCTATAAAAATAGAGTAATATAATTAATTTATATGTTTTTAATGTTTAATGCATATAATATTTGTATATGTATATACATACCAGCATTCGCACTTGCCAGCGCCGCAATCAAGGCAAAAACAAATCCGCAGATCTTTAGACAATTCATGTTGCTTAATTCTGGCTGTAGTATGAACCTAGAGATCGGATTGCAATGCGCTTTTATAGACTGACAGAGACAGAGGCAGAGGCAGAGCATTGGCAGCAGCGCTGACTGGAATTTCCAGTGTCTCTGGCTAATCAGTATTTACTTAAAGTATACAGAAAATACCCAAAGCCCGGGAGCAGCAACAACAAAATTGATAACTGGAACTTTGATGCAAATTCTAATTGGATGCTCATAAATACATATGCATGTAGATGTATATGTAAATATATACATATGTATATAGAGCTAATAGAATATAATATGTTGTATATTTAATGCTACCTAGTAATATTTCAAGTGCATCTAAATACATAAATAGTAAATATTATTATATGTAAATAATATAGTACAGTACTGATTCGCTAATCGACACACTTCCTTAATGGCGTCAATATTGAAAACTAGATGTGAAAATAGATAAGTTAGAAAAATCTGTGCAAAAAGCCAAGTTATGCTAGGAGGATCTTAAAGTATTTAGATCTAATAAAAGAAAAGTTCTTTAGATCCCTGGAGTTGCTATATTCGTCTTTGATTGCATGACTCTTATAAGGGTTTTCTGGGCTAGTAGTAAGAGACCATATTAGTATTAGTCGAGTAAACCTACCTATTCCAGTTTTCGGTTCAAGTTTAGTCTCAAACGATCGGCTGATAGTCTGTTGTATTGAGTATCTGATCTTTTAACCTGCAAAATTCCAAATCGCTAGGAATTTCCCGAGACGCAGTCGACGCAGCAGCCAGCCCCAGCCAGCAGCCAGCCACTGGCAGTTGCTATAAAAGATCAGCTCCGCTCTGGGCTGCAATCAGTATCAATCGAATACAGAAACAAATCAAATCCAAAGATGAAATTCCTCCAAGCAGCTGCCCTTCTCCTGGCCCTCATCGGTGCCTTTGCCAGCGCAGAGCCTGTGCCCAAACGTAAGTCTACTCAAATTTCAATAGCATATCAATCAATCAATCAACATCAATCAATCAATCTTTGCAGCTGGCACTGTGCTCGTCCAGACCGACAACGTTCAATACATTCGCACGGGTTAAACTCTTCGAACACTTTAAACAATGAAACTGAATTGCCTCTAAAAATAAAATGAAAATATTAAATTAAACCTAAAGCTTATACTTTTGTAGCCTTTTTATTTAAATCCATATTTGTTTGTAGGTAAAATAATATTTTACTTTCAGAAAGCGCATGAAATAACATGCGAATGATTTCTTTCCCCAAATGTTTACTAAATGGTTGGGAAAAAGGCAAAACATTTGACAGCACAACGAATTTGGTATACTCTAACAAAAAGTTTAGCAATTGAATCATGGAAAGATATACTATGTACGTGCTATGTACATATGTATATAGAGAGCCTGGAAATATATGCATATACATATATTGTTATTGTTTATACGAAATTAAATTTATATATTTATTTATATCTCCTAACTTTCTTATTGATATGTAATGTAAAATATATATTCTGAATTATTTTTATATCTTTTGTAAATACATATATGCAAAATATATGCATAAAACTTTACTCCAATTGCTGTTTTTTTTTATTTTTTTTTCTATTTACACTTAAGGGAAAATCTTGCATCTA